ATTAACCAAAAAAAAAAAAAAAAATGTTTTCTCTATGGTTTTAATTATTGTATAAACTGACGGTTCAGCGGCGTAGAAACTGTAGAGAGAACGGGGGCGGCACCATTTTTCTTTAAGATGAAGGGGTGTGGGGTTGGGGGGAGTGGGGGCATTTTTGGAAAGCTGTAGAGATTTTTCGTGTAAGGGGTGACAAAAATCTTGCCCCGCCCAAGGTGGCATTACCCTAGCTACGCCCTGGCATGGTTTGAGAAGCACTGATGTACACGTCATTGTTTTTACATTTAAAAAAAAAAAACGAGTTTTAAAAATAAAACACATTTTATTGATCCTTCGGAATGTTAAAAAAAAATCTGTTTAGCGACAACATGTTAACATTTATTCCAATAGGGTTGACACCGGTGAGACGTTGATTGCTGTTAAATCTCCATCTCTACAATGTTATGAAACAGACCACACATCCCAATCTTTATAATGTTATGATACAGATGACACATCTCCATCTCTACAATGTTATGACACAGACCCCACATCACCATCTCTACAATGTTATGACGCAGACCACACATTTCCATCTCTACAATATTATGACGCAGACCACACATCTCCATCTCTACAATGTTACGACGCAGACCACACATCTCCATCTCTACACTGTTATGATGCAGACCACACATCTCCATCTTTACAATGTTATGACGCAGACCACACATCTCCATCTCTACAATGTTATGACACAGACCACACAAATTAACTGTTACGACTGCAATGTCCTAGATATTCCCACGGCAAAGCCTACCTGTTGATATTGTGCAAATTTATGCAAATTAGACAGTCACTTTGTAACAGTTTTATTCACTATTGCCGTTACTATTTCTGAAAAGAGCATTTAACGTAGTGATACCGTGGTCAAGTGGTTTCACCAATAACTGGACAAGTGTTTCACCAATAACTGAACAAGTGGTTTCACCAATAACTGGACAAGTGGTTTCACCAATAACTGGTCAAGTGGTTTCACCAATAACTGGTCAAGTCGTTTCACCAATAACTGGTACAGTGACTTACCAATAACTGGACAAGTGTTTTCACCAATAACTGGACAAGTGGTCTCACCAATAACTGGACAAGTGGTTTCACCAATAACTGGTCAAGTGGTTTCACCAATAACTGGTCAAGTGGTTTCACCAATAACAGGTGCAGTGACTCACCAATAACTGGACAAGTGGTTTCACCAATAACTGGTCAAGTGGTTTCACCAATAACTGGTCAAGTGGTTTCACCAATAACTGGACAAGTGTTTTCACCAATAACTGGACAAGTGGTCTCACCAATAACTGGACAAGTGGTTTCATCAATAACTGGTCAAGTGGTTTCACCAATAACTGGTCAAGTGGTTTCACCAATAACTGGTCCAGTGACTCACCAATAACTGGTCAAGTGGTTTCACCAATAACTGGTCCAGTGACTCACCAATAACTGGACAAGTGGTTTCACCACTCACTGGTCAAGTGGTTTCACCAATAACTGGTCCAGTGACTCACCAATAACTGGACAAGTGGTTTCACCAATAACTGGATAAGTGGTTTCACCAATAACTGGAGAAGTGACTCACCAAAGAACATATCTTCCCTGCTATAAATATCTGAAAATAACTTCATAGAAACACATGGTGCAATAGAATAAAACGATTGGTCAATGCATTCAAAGACCTGTTGGTAACACAGACGTTATATCAATCTGTAGTACTATCTAGAATACAATAGTAGTAGTACGTAGAGTACTAAGTGAAGAGTCCAATGGCAAACCCTGCTAAGTCAATTTAGATTGATTTTGAGAAAAACACATTT